ATCATCAGTTCTCTGAGTTGTTCAAAACTCTGGCGTTGGAGTGTGCATAACATACCCCAGTTACTCCTTTAGCACCCAAAAATAGAAAGGCAGTAAAACAGAACGGTGCTGTTTAACTTAGCACAGAAAGAGAAGTGTTGCCAAAAAATGGTCACTGTGCAGTGTTAGCAATCACTGGATGAGACAAATGAGCCTTACCAGCAGTGTGCTCTGAAAATACTTCATGTTGATGCCCCAAATAACTCCAATAACCAAAGACTTCATCTTCTATTACAGTGCGACTTGTTTTGGAACACCCGAAACTACTTTGAGTTAGCTGGTTCAGGCACTGCAGTTTATAAACTTAGTGCTAAATGCTTCCTGAATGCACGTGTGCTTATTTCTCTGCTCGTGCTGCTGTGGAAGGTACAGCAGTAAAATGGCAGGTTCTGCTGGTATCCAGTCACTAATGGGGTTCCACAAGGCTCCATCCTTGGCATAGTTCTCTTTAACATCTCCTTAATATCCTGGAGGCAGGACTGGAAGAGATACTAAATAACTTTGCTGATGACACTAAACTGGGAGGAGCTGTTCAGTCCCTGGAGTCAGAGAGGCCCTGCAGAGAGACCTCAACAAATTCAAGGACTGGGCAATCACCAACCACGTGAAGTTCAACAAGGGCAAGTGCCACATTCTGCACTTGGGATGGGGCAGTTGTTATGTGTATGGACTGGAGAATGAGAGGCTGGAAAGCAGTGCTGTGGAAAGGGACCTGGGGCTCCTGGTTGGTGGTGACCTATAAATATGAGTCAGCAGTGCCCTGGCAGCCACGAGGGCCAACCGTGTCTTGCATCCTGTTAAGCACAGCATCACCAGCTGGTCAAGGGAGGTGATTGTCCTGCTCTGCTCTGCAGTGGCGCAGCATCACACATTGAAGACTGTGTGCGTTTTTGGGCACCACAACATAAAAGAGACATTAAACAATTAGAGTGCGTCCAGAGGACGGCCATGAGGATGGTGAGAGGTCTGGAGGAGAAACCTTATGAGAAGTGGCTGAAGTCACTTGATTTGTTCAGCTTACAAAAGAAGAGAATGATGGGAGACCTCACTGTGTCTTCAAAATCCTCAGGAGGGGAAGCGGAGGCGCAAGTACTGATCTCTTCACTCTGGTGACTGGGTGACAGGACTCGAGGAAATGGCATGAAGCTGACTCAGGGGAGTTAGGTATTAGGAAAAGGTTTTTCACCCAGAAGGTGTTTGAGCCCTGGAACAGGCCTCCCCATGAAGTGATCACAGCACCAAGCCTGACAAAGTTCAAGTGTTTGGACAACAGGTGGTATGATTCCTGGAGTATCCTGCACAGAGCCAGGAAGTGAACTCCATGATCCTGATGGGTCCCTTCCAAATCAGCATATTCTATGATTCTATGATACCCTTTCTTAGGACTTGAAGTTCGACAGTGCTGAGCTGCTGAAAGAAGCACTGACATGCTTTTGACAGAAACTTTAGGCATTGAACTTGCATTTCACCACGTTAACCCTTCAGCTGGTGAGTGTGTGGTTCTACCTATCTGTGTGTTTGTAAATTTGGGAAAACTCTTTAGTTGGTGTGGCTAGAATGGAATCAGTCTAATGGAAATGAAAGCACAGTCAGGACTGAAGACTAATATATGAGAACAATATATATATAAATGTGAAATATCCTTGTAGCCTAATAAATTCTCTATGTATTTTGCTGTTGAACACCATTTTAATGAGTTGGTACCTGTCAGAGAAACATCCTTTCCCCTGCTCTAGTCACAGATCCATGATGAAAAAGGAAAGACACAGAAGATCAGCATGAGAAACTGTACGTACATGCTGAACAAAAAAGTAGAGAACACGATGCCTATGTGGTCAGCAGTCCCATACAACATATTTGTCTGAATAATGACTTTGTAAACTGCCTTATGCTTTTTTATCTACTGATGTCCTTTGTGCTAAAAATTGCATTGTGACCCTACTGAGCTTAACAGTAAAAAGCCCTCTGAGTTTAACTGGGGAAGACTCTTACCACAGCATTATGGCACTTAAAAGCAGTTCCATCTTTTGACTTTGTAATGCAAAAAATACTAATTTTCTCAGGCACTTTGCACACAACAATGTATAGTTTTAACTGTCTACCACAAATAGCACACTATTTACCCACAGACATCTCTGCCACAATTGTACGGGACAATGAAACTATTTGGATGCTTTCAGGCTGTGCTGACTCATATGCTGAACACAGCTTGTAGGCCCAACATTAATGCCCCACTTAGCCTCTATCCTTCAGGTGGGATTCAGGTCAAGGTGACATAGACTAAGCATGGATTAAACTGCAGGTACGACCAGCAGTATGTGTACATAACAAAATCTTCTCTTAAGATATGCCACTGGCCTACAGGAGTTTGAGGATTTATGTAATCTAGCAACTATTTTCAGCTTGCTCAACTGAGGCAGCAAGGAAGTCTAAATGAGCTTTCAAACTCAAGACTTTTTCTGATCATGCTTACACAGTATCTTCCTCCAAAGAGTGTATTTGCAAAATGCATTGAAATATTTTCCTGGGCTTCTCTACATACTTTACATCTCTTTGTATATTGCTTTTCTTTGTGTGAGGATGAACCTTGCTGCTCTATGAAATGTTGATCTACCCAGATGTAATAGAAGGTGACATTTAAAGAAGGACACAAATAATCTCTAATACTGTTGATCAAAAACTGTGAGGTCTCTAAATGAAAACTCTTTACTTTTACTTGAGCCAGAGTGAATTTTAAGTATCCCTTAAAGAGATTTAAAAAAAAAAAAATTACTGAGATCTGTACCTGCATAAATTTCTATTTTCACAAAAGAACCCTCTATGTTGTGGGAGATATCTGAGGTTCATCTCTTGATGATCTCTTGGCCTCTTCTCTTTCTGCTATGTCCATAAGCCTCACTTCCATTCCTATAAACCCTGCTTTCTATTGCTCCTTCCTTCAGCCTTTTCCTCCTTGTGCCCTTGAACTTGACTCTTGCTTTTTCTCTCTCTTTCTTTGTACTCTGCAAGATTCCCAGGTCAAGCCCGTCTGAGTCACTACAACAGCTCTGCTTTTAAAGCAAGCTGAGGTAGGAGCAGGTTTTCAGCACTGCCTCTCACACCGCTATGAGACATGGAGAGAGATGGTCACTGTGACAGAGGAGAGCATCTTTACCACCCATACTTCAAGGCTGCAGGCTATTGGGTGAGTAATTAGAATTTCCTGACTCAGAGGGTCTTGGAAGGAAACAAGTACCTTTTCTGATCAGTGTAAAAAACATGGAGGCAAAAAAAAAGTAACCCTATTTCCATCCCATTGAGTCATCCTCTTAGCAAAAGATTCCAGATTGGAAATATTTACACAATAATTTTTCCATAAATTAGCTGGCAAGAGACACCCTGTCTGTTGATTTTAGATTTTGTAATTTTTTTGCTATGTCTGCAGAGCTCAGAGTGAGTGATTTAGCATGTTTCTCATATAAATTAATTGTTCTCCAATAGATCATAGCTATATAATCCTGATATGAACAGACACTAATAGAACCAAGGAAAGAATCTATGCAATGTTACCACTCCCATTGATGCAGCTGTACATGGGAGAAAGACTTCTACTTTACCTTAGTTAGCATTAATATTTGTAGAGCTGATAGTGGGGAAAAAATAAAATTAGCAAATTGGGTACAGAAAATGAGAATGCAACTTCATAATACTTTTTAGAAAGATTTTTTCCATTGTAAAGCTTAGAATTTAGGAGTATGACTTTTCATCTATTGCATCAAAACACGTTTTTAATAAAAATTAAACTTTACTTAATTGTACTTTTCTGTAGTGCTATTTATTTCATTGTAGGTGCACATTGGTTTAGATGGAACACTGCTGTTATTTCAGCTCCAAGATGGCAACTAACACAACATACGCGTGAAATGGCACAGCAACATCAGCCTGCACGGTCAGGCTGACCGTGAAGCAAAGCACGGAACTCTTGCCATTTGTAGCTGTGGAAGTGACGGTAAGGTGTTTTAGGCACTTTATTAAGGGAGCTCACCACCACCCCTGGGGTAGCTCACTGCAGTTGTGATCTCCAGCTGCTGGAAAACGTGGCATTTGGGGTTTGGTTGGGTGTTTTGTTTTTGGGGTTTTTTCCACTTCTTCCTTGGCGATTTGTGTGTGCCGTCAGCAATACCCACCTTCTAATATACTGATTAATTGAAAACAATTTTAATTCTTATTGAAGCGTTGTTAACTTTACTAAGGGGAATGTCAACACCGATCTGGACGTTCCATCTCCTGCTTCGAACAGACTTTAGAGCGGAATTGAGGATGTTTACGAGCAGATCGTGTCTACAGTATTTCAGCTGCTGGTGGCAGCCTCTCTCTGACAGAGAGCAGCGCCCCGGAGCGGGACAGCGCCGCCCGCGCCGTGAGGGCCCAGCCCGCCATGTCCGGGCCCCGCCGTCCCCCCGGCAACGCTCCCAGCGTGCCCCGCGCCCCGCGGGCCCGCGGAGGGCGGCGGCGCGGGCGGGAGGTGAGAGGCGCCATTTTTAAATCGCTGGGGCCGGCAGCGGCCCCGCCCGGCGGGGTGTCAGGGGTGTCGGGGGGGCACCGGGGCGTCGGCGGGGGAGATGGGCGGGGGGCGGCCCGGAGAGTGAACGGGGGACCGGGGTGTGACAGGGCGGCCGGGCTGTGAACGGGGGACCAGTGCTGTGGGAGCGGGGCTGGGCTGTGAGAGGGCGCCGAGCTGACCGAGGCCTTTCTGCGTGCGCGGGGCTTCCCCTCGCGGCGAAGGGAGGCCCTTGGGCCTCTGCGCCGGCCCCGCGCTCCTCTCCGGCCGGAGGTCGCGGCGCAGCCGGAGCAGCTCCCGGCTCGTCCCAGAGCGCCCTCGCCTGTGCCCGCCGTTCCGGCTGCGGGAGCAGCCTGCTGCGGCCTCTGCGGGCTGACCGTGGGCTCCTCGGTTCGGAATCGCCCGGCGCAAGCCCGGAGCACAGTTCAGAGCCCGCTCGCTGCTAGGCTTTCCAGTCTTTACGTTTGCCTGCTTTCGTTTCCACCAGCGATCCTGAGCCACGGATGGTTGGAGGGTAATGATTATTTTTTCTGGTGTGTGGCACCCGTTAGCGTTGTTCCTCTGACCGAGCTCCTCTGTCCATGAGTCGGGAAAATTAGCAGTGAAAAGGTCATGGTGACTTAAGCGACTCACTCGGCCTCTCACACGATCTTCATCCACATGCTGTAGGGTGTATATAATCATGTTTCTGCCTACAGGAGGTGTTGTATGCATACGCTGACATGAAACCTATGCCCTACCTGAACATCTCGATTTTTAAGTCAATATGAAAGAGGAATGATTTTTCAGAAGAGTTTTGGTTGTGGACTACTGAACTATTTGCAAAAAGCAGCCGCTTGTGGGCCCGACTAGAACTTTGAATGAGATTATAGTGACCAAAAGTTTCTCATGGGTATTTGAAGGTTTCTTTTCATGAGAAAACAGTAGAAAACATACATGACGTGTAGACTGGCTGCTCTTGAGTACAGCTAGATTAACGAGCTGTAACTCACGTACAAAATTTCACTTTGATCAGTAACTGCTGTCAGTTTGACTTGGTAGTGTATGTGGCTAAAGCACAAATTTCAACTCTTAACTCAGAGACAACCTTGTTCATTGTTTCTCACCTAACAAGTAGTCTTTCTGTAGAATAAGACAGAAATTGAGAGGGTGGTACCATGTATAGGGATGGACACTGAAATAATGTATGGTCAATTGTTGCTGAAATTTGTACCTTTGAACATTGTTGTGGAGGGAGTGATAGTAGTTTGCATGGGACTGATGTGTTTTGTAATGTAGAAGTCATAGAGATGTTCTCCAAAATTTATTCACTTTGGTGTGCCAAGGTATTAAGTGTTTATTTTCACTGCATTCTCTACAGCAATATCTGAGCAATCTCTAGGTTATGAAATTTTCTATAATAAAGGTTTTTGTGTTTCTCACTGATGTTTTTACCTCCATCTATCTATCTATCTATCTATCTATCTATCTTTCTTAAGGTGATTGCTTTGGTTATTGCAAGTTGCTGCTGATGAATTAGTAGAATATGGATTGTTAAAGTAATAGGAGGTAAGATATAATATTTCTCAAAATATATATAATTGGGGGTGATTTTTTTATACACTTGATGTTCATGGTGAATCTGATCTCTCATGAGTGGGTTACATAGTTGTTTAAGATAGGATTTGTTTCACTTAACTTTAAATGTCTAAAATCTGGATATCTAGTCCAAGGCTGTGATTTTGTGAACATCTGAGACTGTGGTGTGACAGCTCCTGAGAGAAGGGCTTGCTCCTCCTCCTGTCTGTTTACTGGGCTCTTTGTTCCTTTTCCCTGGCCAGTACCAGCTGCCTGCTTTCACTGATGATGTAGCTGGCTGGATTTTTCCATGAGCTCGCGTGACTCACTGACCTCACAGAAAAACTATTGAGTGTTGTCTCCTTCTTTGAGTGTGTTGGCTTCTTGAGTTAAAACAGTTCATGGAAGGGTCTGATGAATGACAAATGTAGGAATGGGGATAAAGAAATGAGGAGTGGAACCTCCCCTTCCTGGTGACAGTGAGCTCTGGTGTTGGATTACATTTTTTCCTGAGTTCATTATCTAGTCTTATTGTAGACTCTTGAACAGGGGTGAGAAGGGGGTGGTGTTTGAAGTAGCTTTCTGAGGCTGTGCTTTCTTTGAGTGTCTCACTCTTTCAGGCAAATAGTTTATTGTTTCACAAGACCTTGGCTGGTTCTATTACAAAAAAAAAAAAGAAAGGACATATATAGAGATCTGGGGTTCTGACCAAAGCAGGCAGCGGGATTAGACCATACATTGTGTGAAACAGCTCTTCGACTTTCACAGATTTTACTAAGAACTTTAGTGCTTGAACAAAACATGGTGCAAGGCTAATACTGTTAGGTTTTCATCAATAGTTGCAAAATTCTGTTCATTATATCATGTAACTGTAGAACAGTGTTCAAACATGATAAATGTAAGTGTGGCTGTGGTGTGGAAAGGAGAGCCATGACTGAGATGTGTATGGCACTCAGGTGAAATAGCAATACATGCTGTAGTCATGTCATTTAGTTATGCCAGGTGAGAAGGAAACCTTGTTGTTGTAAAACAAAATACCATAAAATTTAATAGAAAGAAATAAAATTATATTGATATCATCATATTTTTCTCTAAATGCAAGTATTCTCACTATTTTAAGAACTTATAGGAAACAAAAAGTTAAAATAAAAAAACTGAAAAATCTTATAAAAGAAGAAAAGCCCTTTAATGATGTGTGGATATAAAGAGGAGAGATGTGAAGTAGGTCATTCAGCAGTGTTTCTCTCTGTATGAAAATAAATAATTTGAGACGAAAGGCAAAACAAAGTTGATTCTTGGAAATGTAATTGAGTTACTCCACTTAGCTCTTCTACAATCAGTATGCTATTTTACCTACAGAGTGTGCATTTCTGAGGTTTCAGGACTTTCCACCAATACCTTTATATGTATACCCATGGAAAATGATAGGAAGGTTTCATAATATGAGTTCAGGGGAACTGTTACAAGCTCAGTAGTGTGATAACATTTGGTAAATATGTAGGTATAGAATTAAGTTTAGATATGATACGATTTTAGTTTCTTTAAAGGTGTTGATTATGGTTCTCTACTTGAACAGATCTCCAGGAGAGGAAGAAATTTTAACCTAGTGTTTATTTAAAGGATTTCTCAAAAATTATGGGTGCAGTTTTATGTAATTTTGAAGATTATTTAAGATCTGTTCAGTGACTATGAGCAAGTACTGTAAGCCATTAGCAAAGCAGAAATTCTTGTTGGTGATCTACTTACAATATTTGTAGACCCAAATGGTATTGACTATTGACAGTTCACTGCAAGAAATTATTTTATGATTTGGGGAAAAAAAAAAACCAGCAAACAAACCAAAAAACTTTTTTAATTTGTAAGAATGTGAATAGGTTAAATGTTACAAGTTGCTATCAGTGATTTTGAGGAAAGAACTCTAATGAAGTAATGAAATCTCTACTTTTTCACAGTTGTCACCAGGAATGCGAATCATGAAATTTGCCACTAGATGTCCCTGAAAACCAGAATAGTTTTGTTTCCTTAAATACATACAGCTTAGGTTTTTGCAGTGTGAAACCATTATTTTGCAGGCTGCAATTACCTCCCTCTCTTCTCTCCTTTTTTCATGAAATGTTTGTGCATATGAACACATGGCCAGGTGTGTGTCTTGCCTTGTAATTTGTGCACTTTTTGATAGTAGCAAAAGCAGTGAGGAGAAAATGTACCTCTCACCTGCTTGAAATTGAGTACAAAAGGTTGCATTTCTGTTTATCTTTTGACTGACCTGCCCTCAGAAAATGTAGGATTTTTTTAGTGTCTTTGACCTTAGATCTGTTATATCACTTCAGAAATACTTCTTACTCAAGTAAGTGTCAGGATTCAGACCTTACTTTAAATGCTGTGTTCCTAATTCTGAGCTTTGGCTCAGTTTGATAGTTACATTTAGTACCTCTAGCTTATGATTTGAGACAGAGAAAAGTATTATTGCCCACTTGTTGTTTGGGATTTTTGTTGTTATTTTTTTGTTTATTTTAACAGTGATCACGTTAACCCTGTTCATATGCTTAGCAATTCTTAGGGACATGCTGCCTTGGGTTTCTGTCCTCTCATGTGATTTATTGTCCTTGGCATCACTGTTTAGTTCTCCTCATAAAGCTGTTGGTTTAACAATTGAAAATGTCTTTATATTATTGAGTTTGGAAATGGCTGTTGTCCTTGGTTCTCAACAACCAACAAAATTCAGGAAGGAAAAATAGAGACTTTTGATTAGAAGGTTCTTCAGAACTTATTAATGTTTGAAGTTGGTTGTGCATATAGGACAGTCATGGAGGATACTGTTCTTTATTTTGATTTCTTCCTCTATTCTGATTTCTTCCTTTTTATTCTCTCAGCAAATTTGGGTAGAGCAGAATACAAAGTTGCTTGTCTTGCTTTGCCTGTACTAGTGTTTCAAGTGGTAGATTTTCCTTTGAGCTTTTCCAGTCTTAGTGGTGGAGGAAGGAAAAATATGAAAGAAATTTTAAATATAAGACTTTCTTGATGTTATCGTGTCTTTTAGTGGAATGGGCGCTCACATACGATGTTTATTTTTCCACATGAAAAATAGATTTTCATCTTACTTAGGGTTCAGAGGTTTATAAAATCAAATTTTAAGTGTTAAAGATATAGATCCATGAAAGATTTGAAGAGTGGAATTGTAGAAAATTCAACTGTGCCTGTAAAGAAGGTGAGGTATTTGCAGTGATGCCAGAGTTTTAACATTGTTTCTGCTTGAGTTTTATTTTGTACAAAGTTACACTTTATACACTGCAGCCGGAGTTCTTAGGCTTCACTCTGCTATGGGAAAAGCTAAAATGGCAGAGTAGTTGGTTTCAAGGCTTTGTAACTTCCCTAAAGTCAGTTGCAGTCCTCCCTCCCCCAGATCCTGTAGAAGTGTCAGTAATGATCACATTAATACCTATTGCTTCTAACATCAAAAAGCACTAATGAGGTACATTAGGATACTTCCTCATTTCTCAGCAACTGTGGATTTGCAGCATTCCTCACACCGATCTGATATTGTCACGTTTCACAAAAATCTTTCTGGAAAGGTCACAAGAAACCACAAGATAAACTGAAAATGAGGAAGTGACATGTATCAATGATATATTTCAGGACTGAACTGCAGGCAGGTGTCTTCCAGGCTGTTCCTGAAACCTTAACTCTTCTCCAGAGAGGGCCTGATAGGAATTCAGCAGAGACAATTATCTGTTCTTCTCCCAGCAGAAGGGATGGTGTATTGAGGAGTACAACCTGTTAGGATATGTGACAACTTTGACTTGGATAAGTAGTAGGAAAAGCTGTATGTGCCTGATATCTGTGGCCTCTGCTTGAACTCTGACTAACAAGGCATAATTAGGACGTTACTAGCGTCATAGTTGGAGTCTCAGTGTATAGTGTAAGTAAAAATACTGTTTCATGTAATCTGTCAGATAGGAGCGCTTATTGACTCAAATGATCTCGATGTTTAAGTTTATTCTGTGCCCTGAAAGGACTATTACTTCTCAGGGAAGGCAGAATGAGCAGGCAAGAGTTGCACTTTCAGTAAAGGTTTCTAACCTGAGTTACAGCAAAACCAGGATTCTCCTGTACTTAAAGCAAATGCAGTGTGTGAAACCTTTGAACTGTGAATGTGCTTGAAATCTAAGTAAGTGTCCTTGTGTTTGTTCAAGTGTCTTGATCTTCTGAGATGTCAGGAGAAAGAGTGGATTGTGTTTTAGATTAGTTATACGTTAATTTTAATCTTGTCTTCTCCATACTCATCGTGAGCAGTCATCATAAAATGGATGGTTTGGGCCGCTTCCTTCCTCCTGTGGTTGGAAATGGTGATACAAATAATCCAGAAGAATTACTGAAACTTCTGATAGATGAAAAAATTCGAAGTGAACGCCATAAAGCAAATTATCAAATTTTAAAGGCAGAACATCAAAGGTACATCAATTTAAACAAGTTTCTTCATCTGAGCTATTAAAATGTGAAGCTAAATGTTGGAAGGGATTAATTTGTATGTGTTGTATGTTAGCTATTTCTGTATCTAAGGAAAGATTTGAGTGTTGTTCATATTAGAAAATAAACAATTCAAAATACCTTAAGTAACTTTAGACATTGCAGATTATGTTTTGGCAATACTTTTTATGCATGTGAATATGGGATAACTTTTCAGTATATTACAGGAAGAGGATATTTGTAGCTTAGTTCTTATTTGGTATTTCTGTGTTTGCTTCTGCATGTGAGTTTTTGAGCTTCAAGATCTAATTTTGGAAGGTACATAGAAAACAAATGTGTATTTTATTTCAGATTACAGGGCGATTATACCAAATCACAAGAAGAAGTGAAGCAGTTATTAGATGAAAAACAGGCTGCAAATGACAAAGTTCAGCAGCTTGTCACTGAACATCAAGAGCAATTGCTGAGTAAATCACAAGAGCTGGAAAAACTGAAGATGCAGGTGAGATAACTTACTGGAAGGACTTAATATTTATTTTTATCCTGTAATAGGGCCATGCATATTTTTTTGTTTGTGTAACATGTATATACCCAGATTGGATGTATTTCAGATGTCTTGAAATTCACCCAACACGAGTAATGGTTCTTCTTTAGTGTGTTGAAATTATTGTTTTCTTGTTTAACTGAATCTTTCAAATCCTGTTGTTAGGTACTATGTAAGACCCTCAGTCTCCATGCTTGCTCTCCTGTTAAGGAGAAAATCATCTGCCTTGGAGGGTAACTTAGGTGCCTACGCCTGGAAAAATAGATATTTGTTTCTCTTCATTATGACAGCTTTCTTCTTTCTTTCTGTTTCTTAGAAAACCCAAACCAAACAAAACCCCCTCAATATTTAAGACAACTTGGATGACACTTTATATGTAACTGCTTGTTTCCTTAAAATAATGTAGGACATATTCTTAGGAAACAAATATAGCATCTAAACACGGGATCCCAGACTATGAATGGAGGGGATGTGCCTCAGTACCATAACTAGAACAAGTTTTCAGGGACTTCAGGGTACAGATAAGTGAAAGAAAAGTAGAATAAATTAGAATATGTCACAGACTGTGGATGAAATGTCTTTTTATTAAACACTGCTTCTTGGTTTGCTGTATGAACCATACCCAAGTAATTTTAACAAAATTCCATACAGCGTGGAGCTTATGGCAGGGAATGTTTCCTGATGTTTTTTTCATTCAAACAAGTACCCATGTATCTGTTGGAGAACACACATCTAATAAGTTTTACAAATAGTTGGTTTGATATTGCTCATTTTGATTTTTAGGGGTTGGTTCACTTACTGTTTAAGTTTTTCCAGATGCTAATTCTTTATCTTCTATGTGAGACCACTTTTCTTTCACCTACTTCCTCCTCAAAGGAGATAAATCTCTTGACAATTCAGCTTGACATTTGTACTGCTTCTACCAATAAATACTGACATTTTAAATGCTGCTTTTTCCTTCCCAGAATATTTTTAGTTCACTAGTATGTTTTTTTGATTCTGTAAGTACTATTTGCTTCTGTAAGTACTGCTGAAATTTCTTTAGAAACACATAGAAAATTAAGCAGAATTCCTAAAATCATATTTGAAATACTTTTTTCCTTGCTACTTGTCCTGTCACAGTGTAAGTAAATAAGACTAGTTATTTGTGATACTTTTCTGTTTTAAGGTGATGACTCCTCAAAAATTAGAACTGTTAAAAGCAAAAATACAGGAGGAATTGGAATCTCCTATGAGAGAACGTTATCAGAAGCTAGAAGATGTAAGTAGTAGAAAATCCAAGCAGTAAGTATTGAAATTCTATTTCATTTAGAGTAGCGATCACCACTTAATACTTGTTCATAAAACCTTAGAAAATTAAAATGGAAAAGGGTGCAAGTATATAATTCTTTGTCTGGTAATGTTGTCCCAGGCAGGGAAGGCTGAAACTGTGGAATAGGGAGAAGGAGGCATTCAGTTCATCAAATATAACTTGTGAAATGATAGAAACATTGCATGGATGTTTGAAGGAAGTAAATCTGATTTTTTTTTTTCCTCTTACTTAGGAAGTGGAAAAATACAGAACACTGTATAACAAACTTCGTTACGAACATACTTTTCTGAAATCAGAATTTGAACACCAACAGGAAGAACATGCACGTATTTTAGAACAGAAGAAAATAAAATATGAGGCTGAGGTACATAGAACATTACAGTAGTATAGAAAGAATCTGGTGACAAAGCTTCTTGAACGTTATGGAACTGATGGTACTTGAGGAGTTGTCAGTTTGACACCATTTCATAGTGTTTGTTTCCATTCTCGTGATTCTCAAAATACTTCTGTGACTTGGTCTAAAGCTGCCTCTGTAGGTTTGTTCAGTGACGTGTTGCAGTATCATTTGTGCTATTAAAAGTAAGAGTAGCTTGCCTTCTGGTAAATGACAGCCAGTAGGTTTGCTTAATGCTTTTTTTAATGGCATTTGTGTTGGAATTTGAAATTAATAAGTTATCTGAGGAACTGATGCAAGTTTAGATTTTAAATTGCTTATGGGACAACTAATCCAGGAAGATATTGTTGATAGCAGATAAGGGCACATTTTGCAGTGTATCCGTTGTGATCCTAGGTTTGGATCATGAGAGTGATAATCAAAAGGATAGTGAAAACTGTGGTAGTTTTATTTCAGTTGTATTAACTCTTGAATAAACCATTCATTCATTTTGCTTCAGAATTGGACTTTCAAAAGTGTATCTAGCTAAATGAATTGCCAGCATATTTATGTTTTAAATATATCCAGCAGTGTAAATGAGTGTTGCATATGTCATTTGCATATTCATCTAAGTATTTGTCTGGGAGCATATATTCGAAGATGCCAGATTTGAATGTATTATTCCAAACATCAGACACAAATCAAAGCAATCATCACTTTCAAATTCAATCCAAGTTTGCAAATGCAATGCACTAAAACCAAAACAGTTGTCCTTCCTGGAGCTAAACCCACATGCTGCTTTACAGCCTACCTCTCTCATGGGCTTGTTGAGTCTGTGCTAGTCCTGCAGCTAATTAGCACCTTACACAGAACGAAACTACCTTGAGCCCAGGGCACAGTGTGGTCTGGTTTCTCTCAAAGCCTTTTTAGCCTTCCATGTCATTTAGCACAAAGAGACTGTAAAAACATCCTCATTCTTAAATGATGGCTTGGGCATATCGTGCAATGAGCCTTTGAATCTCCTCATAAAAGGCATTTGGAGGGCTTTTGCTGCAGAAATTGGCTTTTTTGCTTTGAGGATGCTGATGCGACTTCTAAAGGGACTGTTGCAGATCTGAGTTTGGACTATTCTCCAAATATCGAGAGACCTCTTACATTCATTACTTCTCATTCTTTTGCCCCCAATATTGCTTTCAGTCCATGTAACTAATTTTTAAATACAACAATCTCTATATTTATGTTTGTTAGTTACTGTCTCCAGATTAGTTTGTGCCTTTTGTACTACCTTGTAACAGAATTCTTTTTTTTCTTTATTGTCTGACAGGGCCCAGTCATGTTGCCTGTCTTGAGTTATTAGCAGATTTGAGTTCTGTTGTAGTTATAAAATGATGGGATCATAATATAAGTTGGAATAGACCTCTTTCTAGTCCACAATCCTGCTTAAAATATTGAAATGTAGTGGAAAAGTTGCTCAGGGACATGTCCAGTCAAGTCTTGAACATCTGCAAGGATGGAGATTTCACAATTTTTCTGGCCAAAGTATTTCAGTATTTAACCATCTTCATGGTGAACTTTTTTGACAATACCAAATTGGCATTTCATGTGTTCCAACCTGTGCCTGTTGCCTCTCTTTCTGTCACCATGCATCTCCTTCTCTTCTCCAAGCTGAAGAGGCATAGTTCTCTTAGCCTATCCTTATATGTCATGTTCCCTAACACCTGACCATCTTAGCACATCTTGGATTTGATTCAGTTTGTCACTTTCTTCATGTAGTTGATGCTAACTCGAGATGCAATCTTACCAGTACTGGGAGGGAGACAAAGAATCACTTCCCTGAATCTGCTAGCTATCCTTCTGCCAATCTGCCAGGATTCAATCGGTCATCTTTGCTGCAAGAGTACTCTGATGACTAATGTTCAGCTTGTTGTCCACTAGGACTCCCAGATCCTTTTCAATGGAGATGCTTCCTAGACAGCTGGACCCAATCTGTGTAGTTGCACTGGGTTACTCCATCTCAGGTGCATGACTTGCTCTTCTTGTTGAAGAGACTGGTCCATTCCATTCCTTTAGCCTGTCCAGATTCCTCTGAATAGCAAGTTCTGCCTTCCAGTGTGTGGACCATTTCCCCCAGTTTGGTGTCGCACACAAGCTTGCTGAAAGTGACTCCATCCTATCATCCAGTTCCCTAATGAGGACATCAATCCACATTGGACTCTCTAATGATCTCAAAAAGACCCCACTAGTTACAGGCAGTCAGAGGGTCTTGCTTTATTTTCCTACTCTAAGCAAGAAAACAAACACTAATGTAATTTCTTAATATTTCAAATGCCCACTGCTGCTCCTTTTTGAATTGTCCACTGCTGTACTTGTTGCTACCTGACACTTAACCAGTGTAAAAGCTTTATTTTTCTGATAACAACTCTCAGATTGCAAGACTGGATAAAGATAAAGAAGAACTCCATAATCGGCTGCTTAGTGTTGATCCCACGAAGGACAATAAACGTGTGGAGGCACTCTCTAGAGAAAAGGCACAACTGTGTCAGAAATTAAAAGCCTTAGAAGCAGAAGTAGAAGAACTAAGAGCAGAAAAGCACAATTGTGGTGTGCAAGCAGAAAATGTTCAAAGAGTACAAGCACGACAGTTAGCTGAGATGCAGGCTACAATGCGGTGTCTAGAGGTAAGAGTTCTTCTTTATTATTATTTTACTCCCTTGTAGAATGTAGTGAGAATAACAATTGGCCTGATAGAATTGTCACTGAAGTCATAGAACATTTTGCCATTGACTCCATAATTTGAATTTGTACATTTCAGATTTAAGATCAAATTATAAATATATTGGGAGCATTGGGAGTCAGGTACTACCAGCTCACCTTTGGAAAGGTGGAGTCATGTACTACCAGTTCAACTTTGGAAATCTCAACTGAGAGATTCTGTTGAATCATCTCCTTTCTAAACATGCAAGTGATATCCACATTTGCAGTCAGTAAGATGATCATGTCAGCACTTGCCACTTGGCTGAAGTTAGAAACCAATGGCAATATGTTAATAATCTTCTACAGTAAATTTTGTATTCTTTTCCAAAATGTTACATGATGCTCTTCTATTTCTTTAATCCTTTCCTCATCTGTTGTCTTGTTTGCCTGTGCCTCTTCTTTCTCCAACACGTTACTGCAATTACTGAGCTCTTGGCTGTTGCTCTCCCTTAAAGAAACTTTGTTATTGCCAGCCTGTTGTACACTTCCCAGGATTCCACTGTATTCCTCATCTGTGGTCCTCAGTCCTCCTGTCAGTTCTTGCTATCTCTCTTGATAGCGAGTCTTTTCCTCTAGATTTCTCACACAGTTGCAGCACACAGACAGATGGTTCATCTTCCTTTTTACTATTATCAGTGCTCTAAGCCTACCTCCAAAAATCTTACAAATACCTCCTTCATTCAAGGCAGAAAAGAAGTCTGCTGAACTGCAAGTTGATCGAATTGAGAAAGAACTGCAGATGAGTAATGAGCAGAACATTGTCTTAACTAGCAAACTTCACAAATGTGAACGAGAAGTCAATTCCTTAGCTGCTAAAGTAAGTACTTTTATGGTATCTGAAATAATTTTTTCATATCCTGTTATGTTTAAGTTTTTCCATTTATATTTTACACTAAGAATAAAGTAAAAATGTCTTCTGCTGTGACTTAGAATAGGTTTGGAATTTTCCCCCAAATTTCAGTTGGAAGATACAGAATGTGTGACTTTACAGGAGAAACATCATACATAAAACTATCTCTAAAGATTAAGGTTATGCTCTTTTTATTTCATTTTCTAGGTCCTTTTCCTACTTTTCCTAAACAGAACAGGACTTGAAGAGATGTCTTTATTTTCATGTTTTTAGTGCTCATGAAAACAGCCAGCCGTTAGAGCTTTAAATTGAATTCCCCCCCACACTTTTCTTTTTAATGGAGCTATGGCTTCTGGAGATCTTAAAAAGTATTCTCTGAATGTGCTATATTAGCTACAGGAAGCAAGCATTGGAATTACTTGTGGAGATCTAGGCACAGCCTTTTTGTTGAGCTAGTGCCAGCTTAGCTTGTACAGAAACATTTCAGTACAGAATTGCATCAGACCATTTTAAGTAGACTGTTGTGTTACAGCGCATCTGAGTAAATTAGTTGTTGGGTTGACATCAGACCTTGGAGGTTTAGTTCTATGATTGTATGCTTTTCTTTTTCCTCTTTTTTTTTTTTTTTTTTTTTTTTAGTGAAATTTCTAAAAAAGTACTTTGGAAAAAAAGATCAGAAGGCTTCGAGTTTAGGGAAAACCTGAAACTGCTTAAAAAACCTGACATCTCTGTTTAATATGTCAGTATAATTTGGTTAGTGTGGATGCCCCATGGAGGGTTTTATCTGGTTGCAGTGACTCCTCAGTTACACATCGTAAGAGACAGATCCTTTATGCAATTTTATATGCGATTGTTTGAATAAACAAGGAAAGTAAAAACACTAGTAAACCTTTTGGCCTTCAAGTGTTGTAGAATACTGACATTACTCTGTGTAAATTTGAGTCAGGATACTAGACCTACTGAAGTAGTTACCTGGGTAAATACAAGCTTTTTTCTGTCTCTTGTTCCTTCCTTTCTGGAGAGAATACTTGGTAATAATTTTTTATCACATCTGTTAGTTCCTGGTAACAAATTGAATCCCCTGTGTTTTCTTACCTTTCTGGACAGGCTTTAGGTAGTTCTGAAGTAACTGTAAAGCCACTAACTTTGGGCTTGTATATCTGGCTGAATACTGGGTCATTTTAAGTTCTCTGTTGACTTAAAGCTATCCTGCTTTTCTAAACACAAATTTAATTCAAAACAGGCTTTACAGTGCACATTTATGAGTGCTAAGTATTTAATTTTGGTCCTTAATTAACAAAAACAGTTCTAATTTACCATGAGAATAGGCTATAGCTATACCACTATTTAAAGCCTCTTTATGTAATGTGTCATACTTATCCCACATGAATACTAAATAGGAGGGGAAAACTCTCGTTAAACATTTTTCAATCAATTGTCTCTCAGAATATATAGAAGATTGTTACAGTCTTTTCTTTTTGTATCAACTGGTCTTCTCTGCTCACCTCCAGAATGAGGGCAAAATAAAATGTTCAGTGGTGTTTCTCGAAGGGAGGAAAGTAGAAACTAATTTCTATAGTAACCTCCACCCACTGCTGCACCCACTCAAACTTATTCCTGAGCACAGGTGCGCACGTTTGTCTTCCAGATTTTGTGCCTTAAAAATGCCACCTTAAATCTTTGCAAGTTGCCCTGAAATGTTCTCAACTTAGTATTTAAGCAACCAAATCCACCGTGTAGTTACTTAATAAGGTACTGTGTCATTCTTAGCCTTTTGCCACTTGTATATGCTAGCAGGTTGTAATTACAATTGTCATTGTGAATGGATTTTCATTATAAGTCCTTTCCTCTAGATATTTAATTCTCATTGACCATGTAATTACTGCATACAAATGCCTAAACTATAGAAAGTTTCTATGCAAGCAGTAATTTTCTTTGATTTGATGTTCTTAAAGCTCCTGCTTTTATGAGGCCATCTGATGTGTCTGTAGAGAAGTGATTTAAAATGCACTTGAAAACTATGAAGACCTGGATTTTGAGAAAGTAGTGCAGCACTGCAGGAGGTTGGGGGGGGACTGTAAATAGTCACCAAATTGAAATTACTTGGGGGAGCATTTGGTAATTGGGCTTTGGATATCACTGTTTTGTTTTACTTATGGAGATGAAATTTAATTTTATTTTAACTTGACTCTGAGGAATCTTTAGTCAGAAGTGAAGTAAATATATATAAATTTATTATAGTTGATTTGGTGGTTTTTTTTCTAATTCATAGGTAGAAGAACTTAAACATTCACATAAATTGGAATTAACAAATGTCAAACTGGAGGCAGCAAGAACAAAGGGTGAGGTAGAAAGGGAGAAAAACAGGATTCAAAGTGAAATGGATGGTAAAGTGTGACATTATTTTTTTACTATTTCTTTTGTAGCTTCTAGATACAATAATACAATTATTTTTCCTCTGAAAACTCCCCAGCAGCCTTCACCTTCTTCTTCTGGTCCAGGTCATAGATCTGACAAGTCATTTTGTATCTGAAGTAGCTGTGTGGTTTCACTTGCTCTGTGAAGTTTAAAACAGTTACAGAACAATTTTGTGTTTATGTAAATTAGTGATTTTGTGTTACAATTTGAATATAATCTGTTTTAAAACACGTGCTTCATGTGGTCATTTGTTTCTATTATTGCTAAATTCTAGAGTCTTTCACACTCAGCTTGAAACTTTAAGTGCCATAGGTCTTTAGTGGTTGTTTTGGTTTTTGATTCTGTGTCCATGGAATTGATACCAATTCGGTAAGGCTGCCATGTGAAACAAAATGTGATTTCCAGCTCATTCCTTGAAGGAAATAGGCAACATTTGAAGCTACCTGATGAAGCTGAGCATGTTGGCAACTTCAAATAGTTTTCTAGAGTGAAAAGGCCAAAACTTTCTAGAACCCATTGTGTGTTGATGATTTAAATCACTACACAGCTTTAAAGAGAACTGTCCTCACTGATTTGCCATTACCCCAAAACAGTACCTTTGTCTTCCTGAAATACTTGTTTCTGTTTACTTGCTTTAATATTAAGCTCACTAAGAGCAACTGTGAGAAAGTGGTGTTTTCTGTATTGACAATGCTCTTACAGTGTATTGCAAACTAAAAATGTTGGGCCCTAGGAAATACGAAACTAAATACAGACAAGTTTTAAGTTAGCCTGAAGTTGCTGTGAAATTCAATTTGCATCATTGAATTAGTTAAATAACCAGGTGTCATTGTCAGAGCAAGTTGGCCTATTTGCCAGTGAACACAGGTGTCTCAGTCACAAGATTTTAATTTGGATCATTTGTCCCTGCCTATAGAGTCATAGTTTCAGAATTGCTTAATTTGGTAGTATAAATGGATTAAAATGTGAAATTTGTTGTAGCCTGGTTACTATGGTTTCACTGGTACCCAGTTACTGTTTACTGTAAATTTTTCCAGAAAAAGAAAAACTTCTTGCTTGACCTTTTCATATTGTGGAACACTTCTTTTTTTAAATCCAGACACAACTGCTTAGTATAAATTGCTCTAGAGTTTAAAGCTATAATAATATCAAATGTTTAATTACTTTTGTATATGCAAATAATAAACTCTCGTAGACAGAGATTCCAGGATAAAGGTTACTTTTTAAAAGTTTTGAAATGTTGCTGTCATAGTAAGAAAATCCACATCTCTTCTGGTTTTCTTGTGTTTTGTTTTTTCCCCCTTCCCTGTTCATTCTATCTTGTGCATTGTGATTTCTAGCTCCCTTTTATGAATTTATAAAGTTATTTGAATACTGGATTTCATCAGCTTGTTATCAGTAATGACATTTTAACTTTTTTTAATGTATAATGCAGGATTGCTGTCCGACAAGGAAATTCTTAAGGCAGCTGTTAAACGTCATAAAGTGCTTTTAGTAGAAAAGGATCGGGAGCTAATTCGTAAAGTGCAAGCTGCCAAAGAGGAAGGTTTTGACAATATTGCAACCTTACAGAATGAAAAGTATGTTTGTTGCTTTACTTCTCAACTTCTAAAAGAGGAGTGTTTTGAGTTACTTTTAAAAATGTCACTCTTAACAAGTAAACACTTCTGGCATTTTGTAATGATTCTTGTGTGCATGTTGAATAACATCGTAGGTTAGAACTCGAGAACAGATTAGCTCATCTAGAGAAGATGAAACTGGAACAAGATACTTGGAGACAGTCTGAAAAGGATCAGTATGAAGAGAAACTACGTGCTGCACAGATGGCAGAAGAATCTAGCAAAAAGGAACTTCAGCGTTTGAGGTAGTGTGGCTTTTCTAATCTTAGCACCAATTTCTCATTTCCCCCCCTTAATTTCTTTACAGTAGGCAGTATCAAAGTCTACTATTCATAGACACAGAGATCTTCATTATGAAATGTTCGTTATAGTAGATTAAACAAAATTAACTTTTGTGTTATGTAAAAAAGAGAGCCGAATTAAAAATGAACTGTTTAAAAAAATAAAATTTTTCACCCAAACCTTTAAATATTATACAATTTCAATGAAAATTTTTAAGTCATAACTTTGCAACACACATTTGTTAAAGCTGGTTCCATGCTGGCTGCTGGCATAGCCCCAGTGTTAGCATAAACCATTTCTCTTTCCACAAAGGCATCATATCAGCAACTGGCAAGCTGGGACCCTAATATGGTGTCTCTTTGAGTTGATTATTATGGTTGTGAGTTAACGTGGGCTACTATAGTTTTGTATGAAGGTCAGTATGATAGAATGACAAAAGACATACTCCAAAAGCAACCAGATCAATGTATTTTACTCCTATGTGAATTCTAATAGTTGATAAAAACATATTTTTAATCATTGTTTAGTTAAACATTTATCAGCCTCTCAAATAATGCTATTTATTTGTCAGACTGATTTATAACATCTGTATTTTGATTAGATAAAAATAAGGTTATCTTACACAATTTTAGATTGAAAATTCAGCAGCAAACTATGCAGAGGAAAGAACTGGAAGAATGGAAACGTGAAAGTGCTGATCAGAAACGGGTAAGGTTTTATTGCATTGTAATGTCTTATAGAGAAGTACATTCTTTCCTGTAGTTACCATGTCACCGTGTTTGAAGACTAGATTGAATTTTTGAGGAACAAAATGCATACTGTGGATATTTAAAAGGAGAAGTGTTCAGAAATCAGTTATGTTTTCCTGGACCTTTATAAATGAATTACAGCTTTTTGCTTCATGTTTTGTGGGTACCAGGCATTTCAAAGCTGAATGTTTATGAACTGGTATATTGAATACGGTTATGCACTATTTAACTGGAGATTCAGTTTCCATGGAGACTTTTAAAGTGTTTCTAGGTAATGCTTCGCATTTACACTGCATCTCTCATCTGAGGTTCTTCAAGTGCTTAACAGATGTTTCATAAATGAACAAACTAGTGTAAAGAGGTATATTTCTATTGCAGAGTCAATTGATGACAGTATTGAAAATAAAACCTGATTTTTTTAACTCCTGCTCACCCGTGATATTATTTAGTAGGTAACAATAGCTGTGCATCAAAGTACTCTGCAAGCTGTGTGCACTTGAAGTTCAAGGCAACTGGTTTTTTCCTTCAGAAATCGGAAATGGGAGTATCTAAGTTTCCATGTGGGGAGGAAAAGGAAAGGGAAATAACTTTTATATCCTGACTGCAGAGGTTGGATTTTTCAGGCTCTGTGCTTCCCTACTTTTGTGAACTGGTTGGTACAAGTCACTGCTGGTTGTAACACACTGTGTGTTATGAGAGCCTGGGTAGCTCCACAACTCTGCTACTAAATGTTGTGTGGTCCTCTAGTTCTGTTCTGCCCTGGGGCTTAATGTTGAATTTCTGAAGTTCTGGGGGTCATGTCAATGACCAAAGAGTCCTGCCTCACTTTCTCATTTTAACTACAATAGAAATCCTTCTCTGTCTGTAGTTCTTTACTGTAAAGCTTCTGGAGAAACTGTTGAGCAAGGAGAAAAGGGACAAGTGAAATAGGCTAATGAAAAGCTAAAGCTAAAGCCAGTTGCTGTTTCCATTTGCATTGTCTCAGTATCTCAAAATGAATTGTCAGTTATTTGCATACCTTCTCAAATGGAAACAAATTCTTTTTTTTTTTTTTGGTAGCAAATCCACGACATGCAACTCCAGCTTGCCTCACTTTCTCAATCAGAAAAGGATTTGCTGGAGTCTAATGAGAAGTTGAAGGAAAGAATAGAAAGATTGAAACAAGAATGTCAACTGGCAGAGAAAGCTCAACTGGAAAGAGAGAAGTAATTTTTTTCTTTTGGCTTTATTTTTTATGTTGCTTGTCTTCCTATCATGTAGATTATCCAGAATTTACAATGCATAGTTAAGTAAAGTCAGAAAGTGAAAATGAACAGGAAATATTGGACAGTTGTAAAAAATGGCTGTATGTTCTGTTGTACAGTATGAATGAAAACTTTGCTCATGGTAACTTCAAAAATACGAGTTTGTTTCCATTCATGTCTATTAAAATATATTATTGACTAGTGGAGATAAACTGCTTGTATAAAATGAAATTCTACTTATACTGAAGTGAATGTCAAACTTCAATAAGTGGATCTAGAGTTTCAGACACGATTCTTTTCAGAGTGTTTAAGCAGTGAGGGTGAAAAAAGCATTCAAGCATTGTATTATGCTTTGATAATGTTTCGGGGACCCAGTCAGTATACACATGTATATACTTCTTTTCAACTCCCACTAGATATTTTTAGCTGATATGAGGTAAATAAAAGCTTATTGGATATCTTCTAGTTCCCCTCATCAACATTAAAAATAATCACTTTCTTTTTTGCACAAGCTTGACGACATACCATCAAAATATGATAATAAATGCTGAAGGGAGCTGAAATTTGTTCAGCAGATTCCATATAGCAATAAACACTTTCCTTGAATTTAAAGATTAATTTGTCAGCCTGAAATGGTGTAGTGGGTTGACCGTGGCTGGATGTCAGGTACCCACTAAAGTTGCTCTCACTCTCCTCTGCAACTGGAGAGAGGAGAGAAAATATAACGAAGGGTTCGTGAGTTGAGATAAGGACTGAGAGAGATCACTTACTGATCACCATCACAGGCAAAACAGACTCAAAGTGGGGATATTAATTAAATTTATTACTGACAAAATCAGAGCAGGAGAATGAGAAGTAAAATAAATCTTAAAAACACCCCCCATCTCTCCCTCCTTCCAAGTTCTACCTCTTCCCCGCTAGCAGTGCAGAGTGGTGGGGAATGGGGGTTACAGTTGTTGTTTCTGCCACTGCTCAGGGAGAGGAGTCCTTCCCCTGCTCCCATGGGGTCCCTCCCACAGGAGACAGTCCTTGATGGACATCTCTGGCATGAGTCCCTCCCTCAGGCAGCAGTTCTTCACAAACTGTTCCAGTGCAGGTCACTTTTCTGTGGAGTGCAGTCCTTCAAGCACAGGCTGCTCCAGCATGGGTCCCCCACACAGCCACAAGTCCTATCAGGAAAACCTGCTCCAGCATGGGCTCCTCTCCCATGGTCCATGGTCCTCCATGGGCCGCAGGGGCACAGCTGCTCCACCATGGTCTGCACCACGGGCTGCAGGGGAACCTCAGCTCTGGTGCCTGGAGCATCTGCTGCCCCTCTTCTGCACTGACCTTGGTGTCTGCATTGTTGTTCACATGTTCTCACTCCACTCTTCTCTGACTGGAATTGTCATCTGCACAGTAACTTTTTTTCTTTCTTAAATATTATATTTATATATTAAAAATGTTATAGAGGCATTGCTAAAATTCCTGATTGGCCTGGCCTTGGCCAGTGGCGGGTCTGTCCTGGAGCTGACTGGTATTGGCTCTACCAGATGTGGGAGAAGCTTCCAGCAGCTTCTCACAGAATTCACTCCTGTAGCCCCTCTGCTACCAAAACCTGGCCACAGAAATCCAATGCTTTTTTTCCTTTAAACATCTCTTTTGCTATGATTTGGTACTGCAATTGCTTTGTTGTCATTAGTTTAACTATTGTTTGGTTTAACATTTGGACTGGAGAGTATGTTCAGTTGTCAGTGGCTTGTTAAATACTTTGCATGTATTTACTTTAGGGAGGTATTCACATTCCGAGGTTGTTGCTGTTATCTGAGTGGGACTGCCATTGTCATTTACATAGTTTTGGACCACAGACCCGTCAGGACTAGGTTTTCCTGGGAAGGCAATGGAAGGAACTTGTCAGTTCTCAGAGATCATCGTACAAGTTTGTAGGTAACAGGAGACACACCAAGGCTGATGCTGCAGAAATGAAGCTTTGTGGCCTACGTGTGAGCCCTGCATACATGATGTGAGCCCTGCAGGTCTGTCCCATTGCTACTGTGGGAGCCTTGGGACATGTTTCCATCCTTCTTATGAATTCTTGGGTGATAGCACATCCTTCCTCAGTTTGGTAATTCTTATGAGCTTGAACTCCAAGAGTTAAGTTACACCAAAGCAAGAGGAAGTGAAATAGGGACCTAAAGATAAGAAAGCATAAGATAAAAAGTTCAGACAAACAAAATAGTGCCAGTTGAGCATTGAGCATAAGTAGGCAAAGCAGCTGTGTGCCTGGCTGTGTCAGTCTTATGCTTGTGAAATGAGAAAAAGAACTGAAGGCAAACTATGAGACTGATACAGATCAGAGATGAGCTCAAACAGACACTTGTTAAGCACTTCAAAAACAATGTTAGTGGCATTTAAAAAACCAACCAACCAAAAAAACCACCCCAAAAAACACCCCAAAAAACCCCATGTCCAACTCATGGCATTTTTAACCACTGCCTCAACTGAAATCATTGTACTGCTAAGCACTGCTTGTCAAAAGTGCTTTGGTTCCTGGGAACTAGCACCTTACAGTCATCAGTTAGTACAGGCCACAGTGGCTCTATTAAAAGAGCTGTGATAGTTACCATGGGGGCCAGGATCTCCTTTTCAACATGAGTGGGTGATGCCTAATATTTCTACTGTGGGGAAGGGAAAGGTCATTTGATGAGAAATTTATGGAGATTCATTCAGTCCCTGTAGGAAAATTGCATCAACTCAGGACTAGAGTGGTATGGATGCACTGATACCAAGCCTTTGCCTTCTTAAAAACTGCTGCGTAGAATCTCAACATTTGATTTTATTCTTTAACAGTAATGTAATTAAATATGCAGATAGTTCTTGCCTGCTTTGACTCACAATGCAGATAGCCCAAACAAACAAGGCAGCAGAGAGAAACTGGCTCCTTTCCTATCCACTACTAGAGAACACAGCGTAATTTTACTATGTTTTAACCATGCAGAGATCTAAACAGATAACATGCCATTGGTGGTGTGTGTTCAGCTGGAATGTTGTCTAGAAACCGTATTGGTGGGAGCTTCCAGTCGAGCTGGTGTTCTGGTCGGGAGCACACACTAGTCAAGTCTTTACAAAGACACAGGAGACTCCATAGGGCAGCACCCTGTTCTCCCAAACTGAGGAGGTAGTTGTCAACTCTTCTGGCAGCTGATGTTTGGCATAGGTATCTACTTTTGCGTTCCAGTGTGATTGTTTGACCTGAATTTAGGAATTTTCTGTGGGTGGTTTGGTAGCGTGCCAACAATTAGCTAGCTTATTAGAATCACTTTTCAAAATGTGCCTTGTGGCTGAACAAAACCTAGGATAATGTTAATGCACAGGTTCAAATGTTGTTAGTCACAATTAGATTGTTAGCATAATCAAATTTAAATCAGATCCTTCAAGTATATAAAGGTACGAGTTGTGAAAAGATGCATCTATTTTAAGCGTCTTATGGCATAACCTGACCGCACTGCTTTGTTTGTATAACCTCCTAATCTTTTAACCTGATTTTTTCAAAGGACTTTAGAATGCCATCGTATGGAATGGCTACAGGAGAAGCGTATGCTTACTCAGTGCATCACAGACTACGAAGAGAAATACAACCAACTGAGGAACAAGCTGTGTCGAGCTGCTGTTGCTCAGAAAAAGGCATGTTGTCTCTTCCTTTATGAATGATCCAGCTTATGAAAATTTCAGCTTTAAGTTGGCCAGCAAGAATTGTTTCAGTGTTAATTTGCAGTCTACTTAATGTAATAACTAAATATATTGGGTTCTTTGAGACCAGCATAGAGATAGGTTGAAGTGGCATGTAAAACTATACTACAGCCAACAACTTTCTTATAATGCCATCAAAGATATTGTGAGGCTTTCTTTACACACACATGTGTGTATTTATGGTTATTTAAGAGGTGGACCCCTTGACTAGGGAGGATGATGTTTCAGATGCTAGGCAAATGATGTTCTACTTTTCGTTGATGGAATATTAAAATTTTATCTCTTCTAAACTTGCTTTTTTTCAAATAATTTTAAAGGAAAGACAGATTGTTTATAAAAGCTCAGGATTAATTAGCAGTGTCATACATTGAACATATACAGGTTATAAAACCTACTAGTAGCTTTTATGGCTGTAAAAAGTTAAGGTCAACATGAGCAAAAAAAAAATTAAAAGAAGGAAGCATACTTTCTTGGTCATGTTTATACTTATTTATACATGGTCATTTAAAGAATGAACTTTGTAATTCTCAAATACAGTTGGTGTTTGTTAGTACTATTGGTCACTAACCAAGGAGTCACCAGCAGCTCTGCATCCTTCAGTTGCAGGTTGCATTTGTTTCCCATCATGGTAGTCCAAGCACCTTCAAACAACACAGTTCCTCTTCTTAAGGAAGGAAAATCCTATAAAGTGTCACAGCTTGAAACCATGTAAACTGTAGATTTAATTTTTACAGGATTTAATCTATGAAGGTATTACTTAGCTGTTTGAAATGTCTGTTTGACAGAGAAAGACTCTCAATGACAATAAACAAAGGAGGATGCGTGAAAAAATAGAACTTTTGGAAGCCAAGATGGAAGAACTAGAAAAGCAAAATCAGATGTTAATTAGGTAACTAACTTTGCTTTTTTCTTAGCTTGAAAAATTATATATTCCCAAAATCTGACTTACAAATTGAAGTGGTTTTGAAGACATGTCACCTACTTTAGTAACCAGAGTCCAGTTTAATGACCTTTTTAGTACTATAATTGTTTGGATAGATTCTGTTTAGGATGGGCAGCTGAGAGCTTGTAAGACAACTGCAGGGCTGTGTCTTTGGGACGAAAGAGAGGAAAAATACCTGGTAGACACAGTTGCAGGAATCTTTTCGAAGAAGGAAGTGAAAAAGACTTCAGAATTGCAAGCGGGACAGACTTAGCATCCTCTTTAAAAGATAAAGTCCTGTTTTTTTCTCTTCATTGAGCCCCTATGGAGGGCTGGATTTGAATAATTAATTTAATGTGGCTCCCGTGGTTCACTTCTGTGAATGGTATTAAAAGCTTGGTTTATTCTACATAAATTCTAATCTATATAATACAACAGATAACTTAATGTGTAGACGGATGTTTAGACAGACATGCAGTACCTTCCAGTTGCTCTGGTATATTGGGATAGCTAGTAAAGAAGGGATAGTAAACAACAGAGCGCTCGTGGAGAAGTGTGCTGCTGCGTTGGGATAACAAAGATTTGGAGCAATAAATCTCTCATTTCCTAGGCAGAATGTTTCCTCTGAGGAATACACACGCCTCCAGAAGAGACTAAAGGACCTGCAACGTCGGCACAATGAATTCCGGAGTATAATTCTGAACCCTAACATACCGCCACTCAATCCACTTGGGATAATGCCATCATCGTCTGCCCTGCCTCCCGGGTCTGAAGTGTCCTTCCCTCTTCTTCAGGTGGTGATATATTACAAGCTGTGAAAATAGTACAACAAAAGAGGGTACTGGAACAGTCCTTCTTTACAGACCTTAGTCTTAAGGAAGGAGTATTTTACCTTTGAACAGAAGGAAACTTTGAGATATCTAGAGATGTTCCCTTCCTCACAATAGGAAGGAGTGCTTGAAAGACAAAGGATGTGTTACAGAATGTAACAAACAGGCAGTTTTAACCCATTTCTCCGTATTTTGCCCTTCTGAGAGGGTTAAGTGGCTTCTTCTGAGAAAGTGTTATTCTCACACCATGGTTTCATTATTAGGAAACAGTATTGCTCCTTTTGATTTCTTGTGTGGTTTAAAAGTCTTATGCTGAGCTTCTGAGAGTGAAAATCTCTCTGGCTGAGACGGACCAGGTTGACTTCACGGATTCTTGGTTACTGAGACCTCAGGTTTGTGTGCTCTTTCATCTGAGAGGAGGAACAGTTGCACCTGTACTTCTTGCTGATGCTGTTCGTCATGAATGTCAGAACAATATCCACAAAACACTGCTGAGTAAAATTTAACAAATAAGGATATTTTGGATTTCACTGTTTTTATTCTCATTAAAGAAATAAATTATTGCTCATTTTGATACCCTGTAGGTGTGCAAAATGTAATAGAGCCTTTTTTTTTTTTTTTTTTCCCAAGGAGGAGCAGCATCAAAGGGAGCTTTCCCTGCTTCGCAAGAGGTTGGAGGAACTAGAAACCAGACAGAGAAAACAGCTGGAAGATCTTGGACCACCTAGAGAGCGGGTAATGGGGGATGCCTACAGGGACTTGGCAAGAAACAAGATCACTGGAGAAAGCGAAGCACAAAGTGAGGACTCCAAATAAATCTGCAAACTCTCCATGCTATTAACTTGCAATAACTTATCCTTTGTATGTGCTTTTAATATTTTGCCAAAAACATGCCTGTACGTGCCTGAATAGAATCAAATATACTCTTCAGAGTTCCCCCTTTTTGGCTCAACTTGTTTAACTATTCAGACTAAGGTCAAAAATACCTTTTACCACTGGGAATCATAAAAATATATATTATTGTTATATATGTTATATATATAACATAAAAATATATCTAGGGTTGCCATCCATGAGGGAGTACGCTCCCTGAATTCAGGTTACGAGTGCTGTGATACTTGGCATCACAGGGGCTATGGGCTCAATATTGGGATTCAATTGCAGACAGTTTGTTCCTGATCAGCTAGACTTCCCACTTCTCTCAAATTCCTCATTTTCTGGGCAAGCGTACAGGGAGTGAATTCCCTCCCACTGTAAGCAAAGAGCAGGTTGAGGATGGCTTGTTGAAGCTGATTAACCACAAATCTGTTGGACCTGGTGATGGGCATCCCAGGGTCCCCAGGGAATTGGCTGATGTTGCCATGCCCTTCTCCATCATATTTTTAAAAGTCATGGCAGTCAGGCAAAGGCCTCAGCGACTGGAAAAAAAGAAACGTTGCTCCTGTTTTTTAAAAGGGGAGAAAGGATGATCCATCAGCTACAGACTGGTGAGCCTCCCCTCTGTGCCTGGGAAGATCATGGAGCAGATCCTCCTAGAAGATGTGCTAAGGCACATAAAAGACAAGGAGATGATCTGAGGCAGCCAGCACAGTTTACTAAGGGCAAATGGTGCCTGACCAATCTGGTGGCCTTCTGTGGTGAGTGATGGCAATGGCTGAAAAGGGAAGACCGACAGATGTCATCTATCTAGACTTCTGTAAGGCCTTTGATACTGTCCCACATGACATCCTTATCTCCAGACTGGAAAGACCATGGATGGGCTGTTGAGTGGATAAGAGTTGGCTGGATGGGTGCAGCCAGAACATTTGGTCTGTGGCTCTGTGTCTGGGTAGAGGAAGGTCATGAGTGGTGTCCCTCAGGGCTGGCTCTGTCTGGGGGCTGATGCTCTTCAGTATCTTCATCAGTGACACAGGCAGTGAGATCAAGTGCACCCTCGGCAAGTTTGCAGACAACAGGAAGCTGCACGGTGCAGTTGACACAACAGAAGGAAGGGATGTCATCCAGGGGGACCTGGCCAAGCTTGAGCAGTGGGCACACGAGCACCTCATGAAGTTCAACAAGTCCAAGCGCAAGGTGCTACATCTGGGTTTGGTGAATCCCAGACATGAGTACAGACTGGGAGAAGTCACTGAGAGCAGCCCTGTCGAGAACAACTTGGGGGTTCTTGTGGAAGAAAATCTGGACACAACTGTGTGTGCTCACAGCCCAGAAGGCCAGTTGTGTCCTGGGCTGCATCAAAAGAGGAGTGGCCAGCAGGTCGAGGCAGGTGATTCTCCCCCTCTACGCTGCTCTGGTGCAACATCTCTTTGAGTGCTGCATCCAGCTCTGTGGTCCCCAGCACAGGAGGGACATGGACCTGTTGGAGTGAATCCAGAGGAGGTCACCAAGACAATTAGAGGGATGGAGCACTTTTCCTGTGAAGACAGGCTGAGAGAGCTGGGGTCGTTCATCAGGGAGAAGAGGCGGCTTCAGGTAGACCACATTATTCTTCCAGTACTTAAAGAGGGCTTATAAAAAGGAGAGGGAATTTTTATATGGGCAGATAGTGTCAGGAACAGGGGGCAGTGGCTTTAAACTGAAAGAGAGAAGGTTTAGTTTAGATATTTGGAAGAAATTCTTTACTATGAGGGTGGTGAGGCACTGAAACAGATTGACAAGAGAAGCTGTGGATGCCCTGTCCCTTGAAGTGTTCCAGACCAGGTTGGATGGGGTTTTTGAGCAGTCTGGTCTATTGGAAGGTGTCCCTGCCCTTGGTGGGGGGGTGAAACTAACTGACCTTTGGGGCCTTCTGACCCAAATCATTCCATGAGTCTGTGAACGATTGCCAAGGCAGGCACTCCTTCCTGGTAAGTGTTTTCAGTATTTTTCCATAAAGTCAAAATGTGAAATAAAATATTTAACAAGATCTGGGTTGTTGAAAATATAACTGACATTTAAAATAAAAATTTAATTTTTTTTTTAATAAATCCTTTAAAACTTGATAATATCCTCTTCTTCAATGGATATTACTCTGGGTTGCTGTATGATCATTACCATTGCTGTAGTCTACACTTGGGAATGTTATTTTGATGTTCCCATGCACATAAGGAGGATAAAATGAGATTTTAAAAGTTCTGAAAAATTTTATTTGCTACCCTTGAGAATGTGCTTTTTGAATTTTTATAACAGAAATAGGCAATAATTTTTTTAATATAATATAGCAGAGATAAGTGTAACAAATTGCCATCACATTATGAAAATGTAAGTTTGCATTTGTTGCCACTCTAATATGTTTACTTACCTACAATAAAATTATTTATTCAAGGTTGAAAGTATTTAAATTTTTCCCATTCATTAGCAGTTCAGTAAAAGAAACTTGTGTAGATAAATTTTTTTTTTTATTTTGTTTTTACTGCATAGTGATGACTTTCCCGGAATTGTAGTAATTATTTTATCTGGGTTTTGTTTGTTTATTTGTATTTGGGTTCTTTTTTTTTTTTCTTTCCCCCAAATGCTGCAGCAGAAGTCTGGGACAGTGAGAATGCACTGCAATTTCTTAATAGGGTATTGCTGTTAGACTGTAGGAACAGACAGTGGAATAACTACATTGCATATGGTGATGCTGGCATTGACTCAACTTCTCTCTCAGAGGCTGCATTTGTGATTTTCCATACAGTGCTGAGGTATAAGGATTTGTCCTGGTTCTGGTCAGGACAGGGTTAATTTTTGCAGTAGCCAGGTAGGGCCATGGTTAGGACATGGAGGTTATTCTATACCACCTCAAGTCCTCTTCTGGGGACAGGGGAAGGGGTCCCTTCCCGGTCACATAGGGTGGCACAGTCGGGTATTTGCCAGGCTCCATGTAGTGAGCAATTGCGTGGGAATTGTTCACCTCCTTTTTAAAGTTGTTGCTGTTACTATTCATTCTCTTATCTCCTTGCTGTTTCCGGTAAATTGTTCTTATGTACTCGTGATCTTTACCTTTTGTACCTCTAATTCTCCCCTCCATCCTCCTGTGGTGGAGGAGGAGCTGGGGCAGGGGTGTGAGTGAGCAGCGCAAGATTTGGAGTGTTTCAGTGGGAACACTAAATTGGGGAATACCATGTCCTTTCCTTTCCTGGAGAATTTGTTAAACCTCTCTGTGGAAAACAGTGTCACTGGTTAGAAGTAACAGAAGCTACTGCTCTCTCCTGCAGGATTAATTTGTACAAAGTACTTGTCTGTGCCTGAGCCACCTTTGCCAAATGGGACGGCCACCAGCATCTACCAGCGTGGAACAGTTGCAAAGAGCAAGCTCTCAGCAGCCTTGTGTCTCTGTCCCTGCCTCTGGCTGTGTGAGCTTCAGCAAGGTGCACTCTAATGTTGGGGGGCAGGGAGGGTGGTTTATACAACCTAGGGAAGATGTGAAGGGTGGAAGAAGGGTAGTAAAAGCAGAAAGAATGATGGTCACCACTAGGTTTGTGGGCTCCCTTGGCCAGCTGGCTTTGAGTGAGAGCCAACTTCCTGCCCCTGCAATACCTTCTCCTGCTAGAAGGGTTATTGGGTTATCCTCCTTTTTAACATTTTTAGCTTTTTAAAATTATCATCAGCCTCAGAGCCTTTAAGTGGTGTAGTTGTAGTGCAGCTCATGAAGGCTCTGTGGAGGTGTTGCAGGCACTGCATATCCAGCCTTGCTGTTGCTTCTTACAGCTGGGAAGGCAGCTGGGAATCCCCCTCCACCCAGGCCCTGCAGGTCACTGCTCAGCAGCCACTGAGTTTTAGGCCAGCCCCTCCCTTCCCCAGCATCACCGATGCTGTACTGTACCTTCCTTTTCTTGTACTTCCCAACTTCAGCACGATGGAATTGTGCTGTGCTGACCTGCCTGGTTCTGCCCTGCAGCCTCGCAGGGCCGGAGCTGCAGCAGGTATTTCTCATCTGATGCCACTCCGTTCTTTGCATGACCTTGGATGGGATTGTTACCAGCTTTCTTTTAACAATTTTAAAGTACACAATCAAACTAACCTCCAAATGTTTTTATTCTAGATAAACCCATACAAACACCAACATGTATTTGTCATTTGCACTTTTTTTCAACCATTAATTTTAAACAACAGGTTAACTTCTGTACAACAGGAATTACTTTACACATTAGTAAGATTTGCCTTCAAACTAGATGACTGCAAAATAATGCTCTGTAAGCTAGTGTTAGAAAATACGCTGTTTGCCATAGCAGTTTGCCTGTAAACATGTGACAGTAAGTTGAAGAGAAGTTTGCTTTCATTTCTGAGAATGTGATTAGAACTGTTGGGTTGCCATAATACAGCTTTAGTCAGAGGTGGTTCTTTTTGTCCGGGTAACAGTAACGGCAAATGGCAGATATGGAAGGTGTGCCAATGTTTTGTGTGCTGACCCAAACCTACCAAAAGAGCCACAATCACTTAATTATACTTCACATCACTTCGTGAGATCCACTTGATGGGTTACAAAGTCCCAGCATGATTTAAAAATGGTTTACTAACAGATCGACGCTGTTTAGGAGGCTTGAATAAAAGGCAATAATCCTATTCCAGGCTGTAGATAAAGCTACAAGGCCTGCTTCAACACATACTTAATCTCTAGAAATCATTAAAGCTATTGTAGCAAACAAGCAGTAGTACAAATACAGAATAGGACTGATTTTCATTTCCTCATCAATATAAACACATATAGTGAAGCTCACAGGATCAGACCCACGCAAACAGATTATATTTTACAGCTTTTCAAGCAGAAATGTTGGATTTGTTTTTTCTGCCTGTACAGAAGGTTACTGTTGAACAAAACCATCACAGTTCATTTGAATGCACTGCCAGCAAACACCTGAAGTGGAACACAACTGTCTGGAAAGAGTAATCCGCTCATGCCCCTCCTTCAATATTAATTACTGTGCTTTTTTATTTATTTGATGCTGCTTTAAAGTGTTAGATTAAGAATAATAAAAATCAAGCCCTTACATACAGGTATTCCAAGCTTAAGTGCTAGTCAAGCCATGATGCACTCCTTTTGCACAGAGGGCAGGATAGGTTAGGGTTAGGTTGGGGTTTTTTCCAATTAAAATTGAACTATCAAAATACATTGTGCCAGGCAGAGAACTGCTGAAAGTACTGCAACATTGTAGTGCAGTTTCCTGAACAAAGCTATACATTCCATCAAGTATAAAGTGTAAACTTAATAGCAAGAGTAAGACTTGAATTAAAAAAAAACAAAACACAACAAAGCCATCACAGTATGGGTTGGTTGGTGGCTGTCCTCTCCGGTATGCAAGAGGTACAACTTGTGCAATCACACAGCAGGGAGGGGGCAGACCAGCAGGCAACATGTTTTGGTGTTTGTGTTTTTCCATGTTAACAGCTGGCCTTGCTTCTGCCAATGCTGGCCGGCCGTGTGCCGTGGGATTGTGCCTGGTACCAGGTGCTGGTAGCCTTTGTGCCCAAACCAGCCAGCTTTAGCCCTGCTGGCCTGAAGCTGCAGGGCTCCCCCAGTGCAGCAGCACAGGGCAGGTAATCAGCCCTGCACAACCATCTCTGGCTGCTCACAGTCCCAGCACTGCCTTCCTGTACCAAACCTGGCCCACCCACCAAGGCAGGTGACAGTGTGTCCCTCTCCTATGGGCCACTCACCTCCAGCGGTGGATCCCTCCAGAAATGTATGGAATCATCATCTCTGTGTCATCAATGCCTTACCTCAAAACTGAGGGCATGTGACAGCCTAAGTATGAGTCTCCTGTGACTGAAGCAGAGTCCATGGTGACAAATCATTTCAGCTCTGTAGCAGAGGGTAGGACTGTGCTGGTGCAGTAGCAGAGCTGGAGCCACGGCTGCTCCTCCGTGGCTTTTTTCAGCAGCCACTGCACCAGCCTCATCCCAGCAGCACAGCCATGTACCTGCTTTCCAGTTGGGCTGACTTCAGCCACCAGTGCAAATGTAATGGACTCCTTCCTTTCAAAATGGCCAAGCCTCAAAAACCCCAGCCAGACTAAGGCAGACAGTTACCCCTCCCCACCCCAACCCCAGCGAGCACATTTGTATCAGTTTCTCATACACAGTCAGAGATTACACCAGTCCTCCTGTTCTTACACATTATTAAACCAACCGTCTTTGACCTGAAGCCCACACACACACGCTGGCATCAGGTTTGTGAGGCCCTTGTACACAGAGGGAAGCCTGGCCAGGACTGTCAGCACTGATGCATGGGCCGATCACGCGCCTGAGTATGGATTTATTCATCGAAGTGCAGCCATCAGCTGCTTCATCAAATCACAACAGTGTTCTGATGCAGTGCAGTTTCACCTGTGAAGCTGTTCACAAGTGTTTCACAGCTTATTTAAGGATGGAAAGGCAGAAATGTAAACACAGATAGATGTCGGCCCAGCACCTTTCTCTGAAAGCCTCCCCCCTGCCTCTTCCCCTCAGCAACTGGCTTCACTTTGCACATGGAATTTCTAACCTAAGGAAGATAAGTCCTGCCATGTAGCATTTGGCCTTCAAACTTCAGACACGCTTTTTCTGTTAAACACACTTATCTGAAGTGTCACTTTGGTGCCAGGTTTTTGTTGGGTTTTATTGATGTGATTGATGTGGGGTTTTGTGGGGGTTTTTTCGGGTTTTTTTCTTTTTTTTTTTTTTTTTTCCTGAACAGGAACCAGTGAACATTTGACTGGAAGGAAGGAAACTGCAGCTGACCCGTATTCTGAAGCTGGAGCTCACCCTCACAGTTTGCCAAGCTGCTGAAAGGATGTAGCGAAACATCAGCTTTCCCTCTTAAAAAATGATCTAAGCAACTTGCAAGTTCACACGGGCACCTCTGAACTTACAGTGTATTTTGCACAGCTCCTAGGACCTGTTTTTAAGTAAGCAGAAAGCTTACTTAGACAGTATTTTGAACCAAAGGGTTATGTGTGTACCTAAAAATGCTGGCCCTGCCAACACCAGATTCACTTTCACGTGCCCGTGTCTGAATATGTAACCCTGCCCGTATTTCATTTCCAAATGTAGATATTACTTGAATGGTCAGAGTGGAGAAGTGTCCAAATGTTTCAAACCCTGTACATATAATCAGTCAAAACAGTTTCAGGAGCAGTAGCACTAATTTAAAATTCCCCACAGTGATGCTGTGAGTCAGTGCTCTGCTCAAAGCCATTTGCATTTTTTCTTTTCATCAAATAAGGCTTTTACTTGCTGGAGCTGCTTCTGGACTTCTTCAAACCCCCGTTCTCGCTCAAGT